GGACTCCCATTCCCCCAGCTATAGCCCTGTCAACCCCCATGCTACAACTTGCATGTGCTCTGGGGTCTCTGGGGTCCTCCTCAGGACCTCTCAGTCAAATCCTGACCCAATCATGTCTTGGCAGCTACCAACATCCCAAGATGCAGTAACATGCAGGGTCCCTCCAGGGAAGAATTGTCAGGCAGCTCCAGGGACAGCAGGGTCCCACTGTAGGGCAGGAGGGGATGCCAGCGTGGGTGCCAGCCCTGCCTGCATCAGCCAGCTGCCAAAGAGCTGCCTGTACCCACTGCTGCCTCAGATCTGGGGCCTGACCCCAGCTCTGGGGCCTGACCCAATCTCCAGCCCTGGGAAGGGTATGTGGGGCCAGGCCGGGCCACCCTCCAGCCTGTGGCCCTGTGCCATGTGGGGCAGCATGTGGGAGGAGGGGTATTGCCAAGGGAGGGAGCGTCTTGGTATCTCACAAGCCAAGCTGTGGCAGGGACACCCCTTCAGGTCTGGCAGGCAGCTGGAGTCTGTATCAAGATTTGGGTTGGATGTTACAGGGGAGATGTGGCTCCTGTATCCTGAATGCTGCTGCCTCCAGGTAAGATGTAGTGAAGACCACCTTGGCCTACAGATGAGCAACAGACTGCTTTTCTCATCAACTTCAAGGATCCCACCTTCAGAGTGATGGGTTATATGGACTTGCTGACAGAGCCAAACCTCCCATCGCTGAGCCCACCACTCAGCCCTACATCCCTCTTGTCTGTCCCACTTTGGTCACCTGTACAGTGGTGGGAACACAAGGCTGTGTGGGCTGCTCCCCACCTCGATGGCCATGGTGGTCCCTGCTCTGCCCAACACACACAGTGCCCCCAGCACCAGCCCTGCCCACCTTTTCCCCATGAGCATCAGTGTGGACACGGGCAGGGATGCACACCCACTGTTTTGCCCAAGCACCCACTGCCTGACAGATCCCTCAGTCCAGCCTGTGCACACACTGGCTGGCTGGAAGAGATGGGACAAGACAAAGAGTGTTTGACATTGGTCAGTTTTTCCTGGTTTAGGCAGACCAGGAGTTTTTAGGTAACTTTTAAAAGTCACTTAGTGCTCATCCCTCATCAGCCAGGCCAGCTCACAAGGAGATGCCCATGCTAGCAACAGAAAAACTGTGTCCACTCACCTTCCCCATGCAAGCCAAAAGCACAAAAACTCCCAAACCCCATGCACAAAAGTTTTTCCCGTTTTACCAGGCTGGAAGCATTACCAGGGCTTTTGGTCTTATCAGCAGCAGAGCTGGGAATAAAACCACCTGAGGCCTTGGAGGCCGTGTCTCCCCCAAGAGAAATTCCCACACAGAAGCAATCCCTGTCTCTGCAGCTGCTCATTGCTTTTCCTTCCAAGGATGGACAGCTGCTTCAGGAAACCACAAACCCCATGAGCTCATAGGGACTGGTCTGACCAGCAGGGATGGGAGATCTACGTGACAGCTCAGTTCTGGTATGATAGTTACATATTTTCAAGCTGTTTTTGGAAAACAACCTCTCCAAAAAAAACCTCCAGAGTGTGAAGGGATGTGTCTAAAACACAGGAGGAGCCTGCCACCAGCCAGAGGCCAGCTGGGGTGGGAGCTGTGCACAGCAGCAGCTGTGCCCAGCTGGGTGCTCAGCCAGTGGTGGCACATCATGCGGTGCTGCCAGCTGCACCCACAGCTCTGTATGAGCAGCAAGAGCAATGCGCCCTTTGTACCATTTATGAAACTTCCACTTACCCAAATTAAAAGCATTCCCCAGGAGCCTGGCAGGTCACCAAGCCCTCAGCAGAGCAACGCCTGTGCTTCGACTCATCGTATTTTTAATTTCCCCTGCTTCGTGATGAAATACTTGAGAGCAATTGTTTAAGCAGGCAAGAATTCCAGTCCTGTATCCATAAACCCCAGCAGCCATCAAGAGGAATGGAGAGACAAAGCATCACAGCACTCCCCATACCAGTTATTATCCTATTTTCTGACCCAAGCACGAAGAGGCAGCGGGCTGTTCACGTCGTGAGTCACCTCTGCAGCCTGACCCCACCTGTCCACAGCTCAGCACTGTAAACAGCAGATAGGCCATAAAAGTGATCTGTGTCACAGATAGCATCAGCCAGGGATCCTGTCCCACTGCCCTGCCACTCCCTGTCCCTGCCAGCTCCACGCCTACACCTCCGCCTGCGAGCCCAGCACGGCTGGGGCTGCACAGACACCCTGGGACACCACTGTCACAGAGCAACTGCCTGACCCAGGGCTGTCACAAGCCAGCAGGGCACTGGGGGTGTCCTACCCCGTTGTTCCTATGTTCAGTGGCTGGATCCTGGGTGCCTGCTGGCTGACCCTTGTTCTGAGTCCTCCCAGGAGTGGAACAGCCCCCGGGCTGGCAGAGATGAAGTGATGTGGAATCATAGAATATGCTGAGTTGGAAAGGACCCACTATGATCATCGAGTCCAACTACTGGCCCTTCACAGGACAGCCCCCAGAATCACACCATGTGACTAAGAACGTTGTCCAAATGCTTCTTGAGCTCTGTCAGGCCTGGTGCTGTGACCACTTCCCTGGGAAGCCTGTTCCAACACCTGACCACTTTCTGGGTGAAGATATCTATCTGATATCTAACCTAAACCTACCCTGATGCAGCTTCATGCCATTAAGTGACATCCGAGATGATGTGAAACTGCCCTGGAAGTGCCCATCAGGATATAACTCAAGGTACCAAACAGAGGGGGACTGTTCTGGCTTCTCATCTGCCTGTATCACCAATAGAGCAGCAGCAGGATGAGGACAATGATTGTCCCCCTGTACTGGGCACTGCTGAGGTCTCACCTCAAATCCCATGGTCAGTTTTGGGCCCCCCACTTCAAGTAAGACATTGAGGGACTAGAGCATGTCCAGAGAAGGGCAACAAAGCCAGTGAAGGGTCTAGAGGGTAAGTCTGATGAAGAAAGGCTGAGGGAGCTGGGGGGACTCTGCCTGGAGAAAAGGGGGCTCAGGGGAGCTTTTATTGCTCTTCACAACTACCTGAAAGGAGGTTGTAGCCAGGTGGGGGTCGCTCTCTTTCCCAAGTAACAAGCTACAGGACAAGAGGAAATGGCCTCAAGCTGTAGCAGAGAAGGTTTAGAT